GCTCCCTGCCGCCCACAGAATTAGTGTTATTTACAGAAGAATAATGTACACAGGGATGGAATGAAAAGCAAAGAGAGAAGAAGCCCAGTGGACTGGAGAGTTGGCTCAGTGGTTAGAGCACCCGTTGTTGCAGAGGACCCTGATTTGGCTCCCAGCGCCCACATGGAGGCTCACCACCTCCGGCACCAGGCACGCATGTGGCAAACAGATGTGCATGCAGGCAAAGCACACATAGACGTAACATAATAAATACAAATGTAAACATGAGAGAGAGAGCCAGGACAAAATCTTTAGGAAAGGCTGTGGAAGTGTAGACAGAAGAGAAACAAAATTGAGTTGCTAGCAAGGAGAATAGAATAAAGTCCAAAAGTTAGGATTGATGCCTCATTCTTTAAATGGTGGTTTTTAAACTATATAGTTGTAAAACCAAAACAAAAAACACTTTCGTGTCTTTTAGAAGCCTAAAAGAAAACTTTCTACAACAGTGGTTCTCAACCTTCCTAACACTGCGAACCTTTGATACAGCTCCTCATGCTGTGGTGACCCCCAACCAGAAAACTACTTTGTTGCTACTTCATAACTGTAATTTTGCTACTGTTATGAACTGTAATGCAAGTCTCTGTGTTTTCCAATGGTCTTGGGCGACCCCGTGCAGAGTTTGTCCAATCCCCAGGTTGAGGACCACTGTTCTCGAGGGAAGAGAAGAAGCCAAACTACAAAGGGAGAAGTTTAGTCAAACAGACAAAGTTGACTTAAGATATTCTCTTCCAGGTCTCAAGCCAGCTGTGGTGTAGCTTACACACTTGGCACCACTTGGGAGGTGGGGGCAGGAAGATCAGCTGTGCTCCGGAACTTCCAAACTAGCCTGGGCAGCCAGGCCAGACCTTGTCTCGGGTGTCTAAAGGAAAAGGAACTCAGTACCTCAATAACCCGTGTGGACTCCCAGATGAGGGGTTTCATGCAGGAGTCCTCCCATTCCAGGCACCAGCAGGTCCTACCAGACATTAGCTGGTTGTCAGAGGGGAAACCATGTGACCAAAATAAGGGAACTATTTAGAGTCCTCTTTAACTCTAAAACTCTCACAGTCTTGCCCTGCATCCTTTACAATGTCTTTACAAAGATCCAACAAGACGCATGTCAAAGCACCGAGAAATAATGTCACACCATAATCCAGGCTGGCCTGCGGCTCACTATATAGCCCAGACTAGTCATGAAGTGGTGGCAATCCTCCTGCCTTACTCTCCTAGTGCTGAGAGTGAGTCACCTGCCTGGCACAGAACAAATAGACCCAGGTTTAAGTTCTGGATATAATTACAAAACCTGTGACCTCAAGCAAATCACTACGCCTTTCTGTGCCTGATTTAATTAACCCCCAGCCACAGCCACAGGGTTATTGTAAGAACTAAATGAAATAATGCAACTTCAAATTCTGTTTAGAACAAGATGATACGTGGCCTTGCAGGTAAGTAGCCTTGACATAAGCACCAAGAGAACTGGTCCTTGGGCTGGGGCTGAGTCTCAGTAGGGATAGTGCTTGATCATGTATTCAGTTCCAGTGTTGGGGAGGCAGACGCAGGTGGATCTCTGTGAGGTTGAGGCTAGCCTGACATCCATAGTAAAGTCCTCTCTTTAAAAAAAAAAGTTTGAAGTCATCCTTGACTGCAAAACAAGTTTGAGGCCAGTCTGGGATTCATTCAACCTTGTCCAAAAAAAAGTTTCTTGGAATTCTTAAGCTATCATATAATTATTTAGGTATTCTTATTTATCTATAACTTGGAGTCATGTATGCATCTGGGCAAATCCCATAGTCGCATTTAACGTTTTTTTTTCCCCTTCTGAACTAACATTCCTTAGGAAAAAACAAATTTACAGAGTGAAGGGTCCTGACAAGAGATTAAGAAAACACGTAGTTTTGCATTCCCAGCTGAGTCCTTCAGCCCTAAAATGTCTGTAATGCCAGAGGTGAAAGAAAAGAGACTCAGGGTCCCGGCCTCGCCTCCTTGCGGCCCCTGGGGCTTTCGGGCTGCCATCCTTGGCTATCAGGTCACCTAGAGTAAAACAAACACAGGACAAACACCACTGGCTTCCTACTGGCACCAGGAAGAAGAGGGTGGGAAAGGGGCAGGTAACCGATGACCTCACTGGCAAAACTCCCGAGCCAAGCCCCACCTTTCTGTTCCTCCTGGGCACATCTGTCCTTGTCCTTGTCCCCAAAGAGTTAGTACGGTTTGTAGGGCAAGAGTTTATAAGGCTTTTCTTTTTTCCATCCAAGAACTGAGGTGTGTGTGTGTGTGTGTGTGTGTGTGTGTGTGTGTGTGTAGGGACAGATTGTTATCAGAATACCAGGTGAAAGGTCATAAACAGCCTGTCCAGAAGACAGCCAATTCAGAACATGCCTTGGCTATAGGCCCGGGAAGCAGCTGCCACTGCCAAACTTGAACAGATTTTTGGCCTAATGCAGAACAAACAAGTGGTCTGCACTAACTAAGTGTTGCGAAAACGAAAAGAAATGACAGGCATACAGGCAGCAAGACACAGAACTGTCCACAGCATTGTTTTTGCTTTTGCTTTTTGTTTGTTTGCTTGTTTTTTCGAGACAGGGTTTCTTTGCGTAACAGTCCTGGCTGTGCTGGAACTCCGCTTTGTAGACCAGGCTAGCCTCAAGCTCAGAGATCCACCTGCCTCTGCCTCCCAAGTGCTAGGATTAAAGGCGTGCACCTCCACTGCCCGGCACACAGGATTGTTTTAAATTAAAAAAAATTTAGTACGCCGTAGACAACCTCAAATAAATACCAGCATTACCTTTTCTCTAAGGCGTCCTAAGTCAACACCCTGGGGCCTGTTAACAGCCACTCTTCCTTTCTTCTGATCTCCTCAAATCTTAAACAACAACAACAACAGTTGTTTACATTTCATTTATTTTGTGTTCTCTGGGAGTGAGTAGTTGGGTGGGGGAGATCAAATTGGTTCTCTTCTACTTCTGGGGTTCTGGTGATTGAACTCAGATTGTCAGGCCTGGTATCATCTCCTTGCTTCTCCTCAAACTTACGTAGCTGGGGCTGAAGAGATGGCCTGGTGGTTAATAGTATCAGAGGACCAGGGTTCTAGTCCCAGCACCAGAATAGCAGTTACAACTCTGTAACTCCAATTTCCAGGGCATCTGATGCTCTCTTCTGGACTCTGCCTACAGCAGGCACTCATGGGGCAAACCACCCACACACACAATAACTTTTAAATCCCATATTGCTACATACCATACTATTTAACAATATTGATATATACACTTTTGGTAAACATTTTATGTTTTATAACATCAAGCTATTTTTTTTCCCGAGATACCTGCTACAATTTGGAACTAAAATTAGTGAGAGTCTTATCTCCTTTGTTCTTAATCAATACTGTTAACTCGAACCTAGTTACCTTTCTGGAACAAACACACACCCCCCAAGGATCAACATGTTCCTAGGCTTTGGTGTTGTGTATGTTTTTCAGCCCTGTGATGTCCAACTCTGAGCTTGCTTAACACTGAGGTTGAGTTGTAACTTGTTAGCCTGAGGATGTTAACCCAGTTAAGGCTTGTGAGCAAGGGGAGGGTGCTGTTTATTAAGAACAGTGAACAGGCTCCCAATTGTGCAGAAGGCAGAATTTTATGTATGCAAAGGCTTTTTACTTCTCCATCTTAAAATTCAGGACCATTGTCTTCATTTTCCAACACAAGGAACAAGGTGACAATCTCCTAGTAACTCTGCCCAAATATGGAAGGAGTCTTAGGACTCAATGACAAGGCGGGGGTTGGGGGAGTGATCCCTCTTCTACACACAAGGTTTACTTAGCACATTCAAGAGTTACTTCTTGAGTCAGCTCCTGGAGGCATCTCTGTCAGCCTGGTCTACCAGATAGCCAATACAACCTGAGCAACAGGCTTAGGGATATGCATTTCATTTAGTGACTCTGGAGAATGAAGACAAAAATAAATAAATAAAAAGTGACAGGAAAGTTATGAGTGATGGGTCTTCTCTTCTTCTTCTTCTTCTTCTCCTCCTCCTCCTCCTCCTCCTCCTCCTCCCCCTTCTCCTCTTTCTTCTGTACTCCTCACCCCTTGTTTCCTTTAGAAACAGGGACGGGGCGGGGGGGGGGCGGGGGGGGAACAGCAGTGTATAGTACACACCTCATGAAGGCTGCAATGAGGTAAATGAGGGAACATATACAAAGTGTTCCCTAATTTCACAGGTAGACTGAAGAGACAGGGGAAAGGCAGCAGGATGTGGGCACTCCCTTACTGCTTCCGTTCCAGAGAACAGAGTGTACATGGGTGAGGCGCAGTCGCAGCCCATGGGGCCTGAGAGGAAGGGGACACCCAGAACAATGTACCGGCTTTCCCACGAGGACTGAAAGGGGACGTAAAATATCTGACACACACGTTTTGTTCTTCAGTAGACATGCAACGGGAAGACACTGGGGTGGGCTTTCTCACGAACACATCTGCACCCTCACCCTCCACCCAATGCTGAAGAATCCTTGGGGCAATGGGATTGTTTTTCACAGACTTGCAAATTTGGAAGCCAGGAATAAACAGTCGCCTCGAAATTAATTGCGCTGGCTAAAACCAGGCACGAAATCCTCTCCTAAGCACATTTTCTTTTCCTAAAAAAAAAAAAAAGAAAGAAAGAAAAACACCGACACACCCAAACAACCCTGCACCCAGGCCGAGTCCCTGGATGGGGTTCAGGGTCGCGGGGCCAGCGCCTTCGATCTCCGGGGGAGCCGTCCGCGCCCCGAGCCCCGCCCCTCCTCCCGGCGAGGCTGCACACCCGAACAACAACCGTTTTCCCCGCTAGAGCACACCGTGTCCACGCGCCCCTGCGGCCTCGCTGATTGGCTGGAGGCCTGGTAAACAAGGACCAAGCAGCCAATGGCAGAGCTGTACACGAGGGCTGCACGAGCCTCTGAGCCAGCGCTCGCGTGGTGCCCGTGGCAGGCAGCTATAAAAAGGCGTTTCCGGCTCCCGATTGACACTCTTCCTCCTCGCATCTCCTGGGTTTCCTGCGCTGCTCCTGCTGCCGGAGCGAGACAGCTGCTGTTGCTTTCTTCTTGAAAGCGTTTGGCACAGCCAGAAGGTGGAAGCTCTCAGGCACCGTTTCGAGAAGTTGTTAGGGCTTGTTGAAGGACTTGTTTAAGTTTTTATTTGGGTTTTCCAAACCCTGTCTGTCTTCATTTGCTCACTGTGAAGGGCTCTCCGAGTTTTATCTTGAACCCGCTGAACCCAATCATGGTGATGTTCAAGAAGATCAAGTCTTTTGAGGTGGTCTTCAACGACCCGGAAAAGGTGTACGGCAGCGGGGAGAAGGTGGCCGGCCGGGTGATAGTGGAAGTGTGTGAAGTGACGCGGATCAAAGCCGTCAGGATCCTGGCGTGCGGAGTAGCCAAGGTCCTGTGGATGCAAGGGTCGCAGCAGTGCAAACAGACCTTGGACTACCTGCGCTATGAAGACACGCTTCTCTTAGAAGACCAGCCAACAGGTGCAGACGTAGCTCCAGCTGTTCGGGTGGGGGTGGTGTAAAAAAGCCTCACCAGGTGTTTTGAGTCGTTCATTTAATAGTTTGAATTGTGTTGGTCCCGATACATTTAAGTTTTAATTCGCAAGTATTTCACTACACCGGCCCCCAGGCCAGGGTGATTTGCAGTTTCTGAGGTGCTGTTGGCTGAAGGTGTTTGCCTTAGCTACTTAGAGATTAATGTATTCACAGTCTGCACGCGATTCCTGAGGCAACTGTGCTGGATGGGCCTTTTAGTAATTGTGGGCTTTGCAACTTTCTGTCCAAGAAAGTTGCATTGGAGTCCACCGGGCCAGATATGGAAGTAAAATAACCTTCCCTGCTGCCCAAACAGTTTTCACGGATGCCTTTGAAATGTAACAGGAAACCTAATGGACCCTGGCCTTTGTTTCCCTGCAGGTGAGAACGAGATGGTGATCATGAGACCTGGAAACAAATACGAGTACAAGTTTGGCTTTGAACTTCCTCAAGGGTAGGCATCCGCCGAGTGCATCTTGGACTCTATTTCTAAAAGCACCCCCCCACCTCTTACTGTTCTTAGAGAGCATTAATTTTTTTTTTCATTGTTTGACACAGGCCTCTGGGAACATCCTTCAAAGGAAAGTATGGTTGTGTCGATTACTGGGTGAAGGCTTTCCTTGATCGCCCCAGCCAGCCGACTCAGGAGGCAAAGAAAAACTTTGAAGTGATGGATCTAGTGGATGTCAATACCCCTGATTTAATGGTAAGGTTTAGTTTAAGGTTCTGTTGTCCTTGGTCGGGGATGACAAATTAGATGCTTGGGGCATGGAAATATCTCAAAACATGTGTTCTCCTGCACAGGCACCCGTATCAGCTAAAAAGGAGAAGAAAGTTTCCTGCATGTTCATCCCTGATGGGCGTGTGTCTGTCTCTGCTCGAATCGACAGGAAAGGGTTCTGTGAAGGTAATATCCTCATGCTTAAAATATAGCCAGGGTAGCCAGAGCTGTGGGCTGGGACGGGGCGTGGAGGAGAGGAGAGGAAGTGCCCTTAAGTTAATGGATGTTCATCCCTCTTCCTCCTTAACCCCAGGTGATGACATTTCCATCCATGCCGACTTCGAGAACACGTGTTCCCGGATTGTAGTCCCCAAAGCAGCCATTGTGGCTCGACACACTTACCTTGCCAACGGCCAGACCAAAGTGTTAACTCAGAAGCTGTCCTCCGTCAGAGGCAATCACATCATCTCGGGGTCCTGTGCATCATGGCGAGGCAAGAGCCTCCGTGTGCAGAAGATCAGACCATCCATCCTGGGCTGCCACATCCTGCGCGTGGAGTACTCCTTGCTGGTGAGTGTCACTTATAGGGGCTTGGTTCTAGAAGAGAAACAATTCTTGTGTTACAGTTTCAGTGCTCTCCCTACACCCATCTAATCTAACCCTGCCACCTTCCTTTCTAGATCTATGTCAGTGTCCCGGGCTCCAAGAAAGTCATCCTGGACCTTCCCCTGGTGATTGGCAGCAGGTCAGGTCTGAGCAGCAGGACCTCCAGCATGGCCAGCCGAACGAGCTCTGAGATGAGCTGGATAGATCTAAACATCCCAGATACCCCAGAAGGTGGATGTCTTTGCTTTCTTTGACCTGATCTGGCTTGTGAGATTGTGGTCATTTGGCAGGTCCTGGCTGACTTCTCGTTTTCTCTTTGTAGCTCCTCCTTGCTATATGGACATAATTCCTGAAGACCACCGGTTAGAGAGCCCCACCACTCCCCTGCTAGAAGACATGGACGGTGCTCAGGACAGCCCTATCTTTATGTATGCCCCCGAGTTCCAGTTCATGCCCCCACCCACCTACACTGAGGTGAGATGTGCCATTTTTACCATTGACTTTTTGTCTCAGGCCTCCTGAAGGAAGGGAGGGTTATTAAATGCGTGGTTTTTCTACTACTTACCTAAAAATGCTCTTTTCCCCCTCTTCCTCCGCCAGGTGGACCCCTGCACGGTTAACAACAACAACGACAACGTGCAGTGAGCTGTGGGAGAAGAGATGTGTCTGTACTCACTCCTTTCTTTCCCTCTCTGCTTGGACGCCAGTGTTTCAGAGACTTAGTCTGGAGTGGAGAACGGGTCCATCCAGCCCCTGACTCCACAGCTGGGTGCTGATCAGCAAGCCAGTCCCGTCTTCAAGTGGCGCAGACGCAGCCCCTGCCCGTGCTGTGGTATAGGAGCGTTTGCTGGGTGGATAGAAGAACACTCTAGAAAAATTCAGAACCGGTCCACTTTCTCTCAGATCTTGGAAATGAAGACATTGTCGGCAGTTTTTGAGTCTGTAAACGACCTTCTGGCATGGTCTTTCCAAGGTTTTTTTGTTGTTTGGAGGAGTTCTAGATTAACAGCAGACCATGAACTTCTGTGCCCTGGGGGACAGAATTAGTTTCACATACTAGAAAAAGGAAAATCATGGCCAAATTTTGGAAAAGGTGTTTTTTATTATTTTTATCAGTGTTCCCTTTTTATGTCCTTAAAAGGAAAAGGAAAATCTTGTAAGGCTGGTGTGGTTTAGGTTGGGAGATGGTGGGCACCCTGTGACTTCCAGGGCAGCTGCTCCAGTGAACTTTACCCTGGGCTCAGCAGTTGTGGCTGCGCCCACCAACAGCCATAAAAGCCATTTTACAGCCGGGTGCACTGTGTTCTCCTGTAAACTTAGCTGGGAAAATCTGTTGTTTGTGTGACTCCTTGGAATTGATTCTAAGGTGATGTTCTTAGCACTTTAGTTCCTGTCAGTTTTGTGTTATCTCGATTGCAGATGTAAACTCTACTAGCATGTGTCTTAAGGGTTAATCCCAATGACAGGGAAAAAGGGTTTGTTTTTTTTGAGACAGGGTCTCTAGCCTCTGTTAGCCTGGAACTCTACATAGACCAGACTGGTCTCAGAGATCCTCTGTCTCTGCCTCCTGAGCGCTGAGATTGGAGACTCAGCTTGGTTATTTGAGACTTTGTCCCAGTGTGCAGAGTTGTGTGATTCTGATTTGGATATGAAGGGTTGCCGCCCTGTGTGTAAGCCTCTGCATCGAGATGCCCCAGCACTGATCAGGGCCTCCTGGCATTGCAATGAGAATTGCAGGGTTTCACGAAAGCCCCAATCCCATTTTCTGTCCAGTGTTAGGAGAAAGGACTCTAAACTGCTCTCCCTGTGGCCACTGGTTGCGCTCGGCCATAGCACTTTGTCTGCTGTCCTGTGTCCGCACTGAGTTCCAGTCTTCCCTGAGAACTATGCATTCAGGAAGCATGTGAGCTGATGGTGGTTTCACTTTTGTTGTTTTTGTATTTTGTGTATCCTTTTTGTATGACAAAAACTATATTTTGTACTTACCCAAATATATTTTCACCCCAAGGTGGGGATATCCTTTGTAAAAAATAAAATAAAAAGTTTTTTAATGACATGTTTTTTTCTTGTCTGTGAAATGACATGAGAAAAGTTACTATTAAACAGGTGTGTCTGCATACTAGCTTTCCTCTGCTTCACAAGGCTGAAATCCCTGTGGAGAGAGCAGTCCCTCTAGACCCTAACGTTGGAGTTGAAGAGGAACAGCAGCCCTGTCAGCTGTTTTGGTTTCCATTCAGGCTAAATTGGTGGGATCTGGTGATGGAAGCTAATTAACACACATCCCCCAAATTCCTTCAGACTTTTCCTGTAGCTGAGGATGACTTTGAACTTTGGTCCTGCCTCTCAGGTGCTGCTGGGACTAAAGGCATACATTGCCATGCCCAGGTTTTTCTTTTAATTTGTATTATGTTGTATGTGTGTGGATGCAGGCAGGAATGTGGAGCTTAGAGCCCACATTGCAAGAGTCTGTGGGGCCCAGAGCCCAGGTCCTCAGTTTGAAGAAAGTCTCTACCTGCTGAGCATCTCAGGAGACAGTGCTCCATGCTCACTCAGTTTTAGGGATTCTTGAAGGGAAAGGATTTCTTTAGGGTATTTACTTTTTAACCAGTGTGAGCAGCTTTTTACACAAAGGCAGGATCTGGGGAGAAGGGACTGGAGACTAACGTGAGGGAAATAAACAGGCGTTACTGGGGAGGGGGGAGGCAGGACATCGGTGCTGGAGCCCAGTGGATCTCCTTATGGTCCCTACTGTTCAGCGGACACTAAATCCAGAGTGAGAATGGGTCCGCAGAGGCCTCATCCACCTACCCTAAGGATGGTTTGTGGCACTGGAGTTTTGTTGAGACAAGTCCTCTGTAGGTCAGGCTAGTCTCAGCCTCCCAGACACTGGGGTTAGACTCACACACCGCTGGCGATTCCTGACGGACATTCTCTTTCATAACTTGGTTTTTATTGTAGAAATGCACCCCCAATATCAACCTGCTTTATACGCTGAAAAGAATAACTGTTTGGGACGGAAGACTTTTAGTGCCAGCTGTTGGATGCTTTAGAGGTAGCTACAGTTTCCTAATTTACAGTTCTTAACACAGAACTAGAAGGGTTGTTGACTATTTAGCCTCATCCTTATTCCTTGGGACCTGTTTTGCTTAGGCAGTTTATTTCTCTCAGGGAACTGATGACTGAGAAGCCGTTTCACAGCTAGCTGAAAGCGTTTTGTTCCCTAAGAAGTCACACGCTGAGGAACAGAGTGGCGGAGGGTATCATACCGTTCTTCCTGGGTTCGGGTTCATCTAGTGCTTTTTCTTTTCAAAATGGGGTTTCCATTGGCTCTCTCTATATTAATACAGTCCTTGAAGCCCTGTATGAGATGCCAGGGCAAAGCCTGCTGCGGTGGGGCGCACCTAAAACCCAGCATTTGAGAGGGAGAGGCAGAAGGATTGCCAAAAATTCAAGGCAGCCTGGGTTTCAAGCACCACCAGGTCTGCTAGGACTATGTGGTAAGAACGGGTATCCCCCCGCCAAACCAAAGCCACAAAAAAACCTGTGAACCCTGAACTAAACAGACAGTGAGAGTGACCACGGAGTTTTTTCTACTCCAGTAATTGACCTCTATCATTTATTCTCTCTGTCTCCTTACTTTTCTGCCTCACTTAAAAAAGTATCATATGTGTTGGTTCTCTCCTTCCACCTCTATGTGATTCCAGAGATCCATCAACCTCAGGTCACCAAGCTCACACAGCCAGGGCCTCTATCCACAGCCTGACGACTTTTTCCTGGTCTTTTGATACAGGGTTTCCTTTAGCCTAGGCTGTGTCCTGAGGATGACCTTGAATTTCTGATCCCCTTGCCTCCACCTTCCTAGTTCTGGAATTACAGGCATGCCTGGGTTACCATGCCCAGTTTCCATACCATTGGCGGCTGTTCTGGCTTCTGTCTGTTTACAGTGTGCCAGTACCTAGCTCTCCCTGTTGCTATCAAGACTCTCACCTGCAGGCCTTCCCGGTTTCACACCTGTTCAAACGTTTGGTGGCTCCTCCCCTTTAAATTTATGATCAGGAAAGTAGGTCAAAGTTGGCAGAAAAGTTGTTTTTTTTTTTAATGCAGCTTGGTATTCAGGGACTTGAGAGGTGGAGCAGGGAAGAGGGAACAGAGTAGGGGGTGGAGACATGGGACAGGCCTGCAGCCGGGTATTTGTGAACAGTCTAATTACTCAGACTTGATATGAGTGGCCAGGAGGAGATGACCACAGCCCAGGCCACTTAAGAAGACATTCGCACTTGGAAGAGGCGGAACAGACGCACCCCTTCCTGATACCCTAACCCCCCATTCCCACCCACCTAGCACTGTCTACAAGATTTTAGTTTCTTTCGGAGATTGGACTCTGTCACCCAAACTAGCCTGGGACTCATTGCTGGCAATCCTACTGCCTCAACCTCTGATCAGTGGGCTCACAGGTGTGAGTCACCACACCTGGCCAAAGGAGTTTTCTCTGGTGATGGAAGTGCTGTGTGCGCCTGTGCTGCAGAGTACAGCAGCCACGAGCCACGTGGAGCTGTCAGACCACGGCTGGAAAATGCCGTTTTTAATTCTGTGTAATTAATTTAGACTTAACTAGTCAGCGCCGCCCTATCCTGCCTGCAGCACCGCTAACTCTGAGGAAGGAAGTTGCCAGAGGAAACCCGTCCCGCTGAGAGCTCAGCAGGCTGCACCCCACTTCCTTTCTGCCTACACAGCTTCTGCCTGGCGCTGGGACACCGTGTGCCTGCAGGCTCGCTGAGCTGGGCTTCCTCAGCACTGCTGCAGCTGTTTCCCCACATAATACTGCGTCGCCTTTGCCAGGCTCATCTCAGAAGCTTTCAGTCTTTAAAGAACTACAACCTGCATGTCCAGCTCTGAGTGCTACTAGGTCTAAGAAGAAAATTAAAGAAAGAGAGGAAGAAAAATACCCTGAAGAAAACAAAATGAATAGCAGGACCCTGTGGCACGAGCCTGCAATCCTATCCCTTGGTAGACTGGGGCAAATGGATCAAGGGTTCACGCTAGGTTGGGCTACACAGCCTACACAGCAAGCCTTTTTTGTTGTTGTTGTTTTGTTTTCCGAGGCAGGGAGGGTTTCTCTGTGGCTTTGGAGGCTGTCCTGGAACTCGCTCTTGTAGACCAGGCTGGTCTCGAACTCACAGAGATCCGCCTGCCTCTGCCTCCTGAGCGCCACCAATGCCCTGTGACTTGTTTTTTTTTTTTTTAAAGACTAGTGATGAAGCCCAGCTGGTGGAGTGTTTGCCTAAAATATGCAAAGCCAAAGCCTTGAGTGTGACCCTCAGTTCAGTATAAGAAGGCATGGTAGCCTCACACCAGTAATCCCAGAACTTTCCAGGCAGAGGCAGAAGGATCACACATGTTCAAGTCACACTCAGCTATATAGTACCTTTGAGACCAGCCCAGGACACATGAGACCCTCTCTTAAAAAAAGGGACAGAAGGACCAGGAAATCCAGGCCATCCTCAGCAACATAGTAGGCCAGCCTGGGCTACAGAACAACAGCTACAGGTAGTTACTTCAAAGACCAAGGGCCCATTTTGAACATAAGGAAAAAGCAAGGATTCAACTAGAGATGGGGGATGGGGCATTGAGAGAGAAAATTGTGGAGAGAGGATGTAATATGGTCTGCAAGAAATGGGTAATGACACTGACTAATTGTGTGTGTGTGTGTGTGTGTGTGAGAGAGAGAGAGAGAGAGAGAGAGAGAGAGAGAGAGAGAGAGAGAGAGAGAGAGAGAGAGAGAGAGAGAGAGAGAGAGAAAGAGTGCTTTGGGTGCTGTTACCTTGCCCACAGGTTTTTTTGTTTTTGGTTTTTTGGTTTTTTGAGACAGGGTTTCTCTGTGGCTTTGGAGGCTGTCCTGGAACTCACTTTGTAGACCAGGCTGGTCTCGAACTCACAGAGATCTGCCTGCCTCTGCCTCCCGAGTGCTGGGATTAAAGGCGTGCGCCACCACCGCCCGGCTTGCCCACAGTTTTTTAAGACAGGGTGTTTCAGATAGGGGGCCCCAAGGATCCCGTGTCTCCACTTCTCCCCCACTGGGATTACAAACACTAGCCACGTCCTGTTTTATAAGTAGGTTTTGGGGAATCTAACTCAGACACTCATACTTGTGTGGCAAGCATGTTACTGACTGAGCTGTCCCCCCAGCCAGCCTTTGACTGGTTCTTTGAACAATCCAGAGTCCTGCTAGTTTTTTCTTGAATCACCTCTAGGTGACAGATCACAGAAAGGAGACAAAGAGTGCATTTAACTGGCCCTCCTGTTCTAACCACCTGACAGAAAGATAGTACACACTATTTCTGAGGTTGAAAACTCCTTCCAGAGACGCTGCAGATCTAGGGTTGCAGGCCTTGGCCCAATAAGCAATGAATCTAGAACATGGAAGAAGTTTAATGAGGAGTCTTCCGGTACAGCCCATCTTAGTTTGTCTCCTGTTGCTGAGATAAACACCATGACCAAAAGCAACTGGGAGAGAAAAGCTTCTATTTGGCTTACGTGTTCAGAACACAGTCCACCATTGAGGGGAGTCAGAGCAGGAGCCGAGGGGCAAGGACTGAAGCCATGGAGGGTGCTGCTTATTTCGCTTGCTTTCTTATAAATCTCAGAACGGCATGCCCAGAGATGGCCCCACCCACAGTGGGCTGGGCCTCCCACATTAATCATTAATCAAAACGCCCCACAGACTTGCCTGCAGGCCAATCTGATGGTGGCTTCTCCTCAATTAAGGTTCCCTCCTCCCAAATGACTTCAGTTGGGGTCAAGATGACAAAAATACTAAGCAGCACAAATGCTTAGGAGAAATAGTTATTAAGAATGCGGACCCTAGAGCCAAACTGAATTCTCCACCTCCTGCATCCCCTGCGGGCCGCGGGCCTCTCCATGCCACAGGCAGTTCACCCGCTATTACTTAGCTTTACATTTGTATCTGCTTGCTGTGTACGGCTGTGTCTGCATCTCTGTGCTCTGTGTGCCTTCCTGATGCCCTTGGAGTCCAGAAGGGAGCCTCAGATCTCCAGA